AAAAAATAAATAAAAATAAAAAATTTCAAAATTTCACAAAATGGCTTAGAAAACCTATGGCCACCCACTTTGAGCAAAATTTAATTTTTTTGTTGCCAAAAAAAATTAAAAATTCTAAAATTTAAAAACTTCACGGAATATCTTAGAATACTAGCGCCACCCAATTTGAAAAATTTTATTTTTAGGTGCCGAAAAAAATAAAAAAAAAAAAATCAAAAATTTTAAAACTTCACAGGATGGGCTAGAATCTTTGTGGCCATCCACTTTGAATGAAATTTAAATTTTTTAGGTGCCGAAAAAATAAAAAAAAAAAAAAATTTCAAAACTTCACGAATAGCTTAAAATACCTGTGCACCCACTTGAGTGAAATTTTAATTTTTATATGCCAAAAAAATAAAAATAAGCAAAAAGTAAAAATTTCAAAACTTTCTGAGAATGGCTTAAAATACATGTACCCACTTTGAGCGAAATTTTATTTTTTAGGTGCTAAAAAAAATAAAAAATAAAAAATAAAAACTTCACAAAATGGCTTAGAATCATTCATCCACTTTAAAAAATTTAAATTTTTTAGGTGCAAAAAAAAAAAAAAAAAAAAAAAAAACTTCACATAATTGCTTAGAATACCTGTGGCCACCCACTTTGAGTGAAATTTAATTTTTTAGGTGTCGAAAAAAAATAAGCAAAAAGAAAAATTTTCAAAACCTCACGTAGTGGCTTAGAATACATGTGGCTATCCACTTTGAGTGAAATTTAATTTTCTTTAGGAACCAAAAACATCAAAAAAAAATCAAAAATACCATTTGGGCATCTAAAAAATTAAATTTTACTCAAAGTGGGTGGCGGAGGTATTGTAAGTCATTCGTGAAGTTTTGAAATTTTTGATTTTTTATGTTTTTTCACCTAAAAATTTAAATTTCACTCAAAGTGAGCCACATGTATTCTAAGTCATTCTACAGAGTTTTGAAATTTTTGATTTTTGCTTTTTTTCACCTCAAAAAATTAAAATTTCACTCAAAGTGGGTGGCCAATTATTCTGCCATTCTGTAGAAGTTTTGAAATTTTTGAGTTTTTGAATTTTTGGGCACCTTAAAAATTTAAATTTCACTCAAAGTGCGTGGCACACTGTATTCTAAACTATTCATGAAGTTTTGAAATTTTGATTTTTGGGCACCTAAAAAATTAAAATTTCACTAAAGTGGGTAGCCAGGTATTCTAAGCAATTCGTGAAGTTTTGAAATTTTTGATTTCTTGATTTTTTTGAAAAAATTCAAAAATTTCCTATTTTCCCGAAATCTAAATTTTTTTATTTTCTCGACATTTTGATGATTTTTTCTGGAATTTTTCAATTTTTTGGGATTTTCTGAATTTTTTAAAGATTTTTATGAATTTTTCGGATTTTTATTATTTTTATTCCATTTCTAAAAATGGATTTTTGTTCTAGAAATAGAATTTTCTGTTGTTTATCAAACGGGTTTTTATTTCGGAAATAGAAATTTTGTCTTTGTTATCAAACGGGTTTTACATTCAAAATAGAAATTTTTGTCATTATCAAACGGGTTTTTTCTTAGAAACTCATCCAAACCGAAATGAAAAATCTATTTCAGTTCGAAACTCATTCCGAACGGAATGGTTATCATTCGCTACCTTAAACTTATTGTACGGATACAAATTCAGTTCTAAACTTTTTAATTTTATCAATTCAATCATAAATCTTTATGTGAAATTTTAATATACTCATTTCGACTAATTTTTAAACTTTTCAATTTTATCAATTCAATCATAAATCTTTACGTGAAATTTCAATATATTTCTTTCGACTAATTTTTGTCAGAAACTGCCAATGTGGACCGCACAAAGGTTCGTGACTAAATTGATAAAATTGAAAAATCTGGATCTAAATTTTAGGAACGTTGCCGTGAGATTGGGAAGCACATTAATTGTCCTGAATTGCAATGTGAGTACATGAATGACCCCTTCAAGGCTTCAACGCCACAAATTTTATTTATTTATTTTTTGGGGATTTGGTTCGCTCAAGCTTTGACTTAGGCTTTTTCTTGGGGTTGGGAAACAGGGCAATATTATCAAATTCAACAGCAGTTCAAGAGACAAAGCACCAAAACTTCAGCATCGTCGTCGATATTTTATATTTATTTAAAATAAAACGAGGTTATTGTCTTGGGGATAAGATTCAGGGAAGAGATGCACCATATCAATGCATGTCCCGATTTCCAAGTTGTCAAGTTCTTTGCACCCAACATCTCAATACAATTCACCTGAAGACGACTAAGGAAGCAAATTAATGTCAAAAAAGTGTGTATTAGCTAGACCCTCTAATTGTATAATGTTCTGTGAATTTTCTTCATAGGCGTATCTACTGTTCTTTACGGGTTGCGTCTTTCTCCGTCACCCACTACCCAAGAAAACATAAACCCGTGTGGTGTTCATGGGGATCGAATCCCGGACCCGGTACTCTCTGACCCCATCCCCCAATCATTTTGCTAGCAGAGCCGCATATCTATAGGTAACTTGTTTTTTTCTTTTAGATGACACATTACATGCATAAAGTGTCCTCTGCGCGATGGGGGCCCATGGAGGAAGAAGTCCAAATCAAGTGTGTAGGCGAGAGAGCTTTTGAAATTTAAACGCCGGATCAATTGAAAAGCGTATCGCCCGGATATTGCGGTTGGACGGTTATATCGCGACAAGCCGTGTCATCCATATGATCTCTTGATGTAGCCATAGAACAAGGTGCATTCGTTAAGGAGATCCCAAATTTTAAGAAAAGAGAAGGCATCGAGAGATACTGTTATAATAGCAACGTCGTTCCACTGTCTCTAAATTAATAAATTACTTTGACTCTGCTCTTTAATTTTTCACTGTGCTCTGTACAATGTATGTTGTTGTCACGTACGTATGGATCAGACGAACCTCTCGATCGAAAGGTGAATGACACACATGCGCGCAAGCTTTGACATGGAGCCATGCTCCTTGAAGGCAAAAATTGACAGAAAAATCCCGAACTTATTGCATTTTTATTGATTCAGTCCTAAATTTTTCAATTTTGTCAATTGAAATCCTGAATATTTTCACGTTTTGCCTTTTGAGTTCATCTGGATCGCTGACGTGGACGCCTTCCATCCTACATGGCACAGCCGGCACTGACGTGGATAATTTTTAATAATATTTTCTTTTCTTTTTCGATTTTTAATTTTTTTCTTCCTTTCATTTTCTTTTTCTTCTTCTAAACTCGGCGAGGGTCAACTGCGACCCTTGCTGGACTTGATAGAATAGAAAGGAAAAGAAAAAAAGGAAAAAAAAATTATCCAAATCAATGCCGGTCATCCTACGTGGCATTACCGGTGTCCATGTCAAAGATTTCTAGTTAAAATTGGTTGAATGGACTCAATTGGTAAAAAGTGAAAATATTTGGGATTCAATTAGAAAAATTGAAAGGTTTATAACTGAATTGGTAAAAGTGTAACAGGTTTATGACTTTTTGGATAATTTTTTTCATGTTTAAATTTTAACTAGCTGTGGTCTCTCTTCGTGACGAGTGTTTTGGGAAATATTCAGGCTGTGTTGATAAAGATTTGCAAGCCCATCTACAGGCTATAACATTGGAAAAGGGAAAAGTATCCAAAAAGTCTTAAATTTATTGCATTGTCATCATGGACCAATTTTTTTTTTGGTCGAAATCATGGACAAATTGAGTCCATCTATCCAATTTAGGTTGAAAATTGCTGATGCGAAAGTCCTCCCTCTTAGATGGCATGGCTGACATTGACGAGGACAATTTTTTTTAATTTTTTCTTCTCTTTTCCTACAAACACATCCCGCCCTTAAACTCTCACCTTCGAAACGAAATCACAAGCAAAATCAAGCAGTTTTCGATTTTTTTTTCCGACCCATCATGTCGTAACGATTCAAACGAAATTGTCGTTTCAACAAACAAAAAAAAAACAGAAATCGCCAAGCCTAGCAAAGCTGTAGGGCAAAGGCGGAGGTTGCAGCTTCTACTAAATTACCCGCAACCCAAGTCTCATGGTCAAGCGTGAACGCTCCGTCTTATTTTTAACTAAAAAATAAGAGCTTTTATCTTACACCATCTCTCTCTATATATTCAAACGAGTTATTACCTAATTCGTACTAAAACGTGACTAAAGTTGTTGTAGCCGTCAATCGTTGAACCGGTGGGGTTCAAATTTTAGCTTTGGACTTTCACCTCCCTCATCCCCACTATCATTAGTGTTCGGATTTTTTTTTCTGACCCATCGTGTCGCGACGATTCAAACGAAATTGTTGTTTCAACAAACAAACAAAAAACCGAATCGCCGAGCCTAGAAGAGCCGTAGGGCCAAGGCGGAGGATGCGGCTTCTACTGAATTACCTGCAGCCAAAATCTCACGGTCAAGCGTAAACGCTTCGTCTTATTTTTAACTAAAAAATAAGAGCTTTTATCTTACACCATTTCTCTCTATATATTCAAACGAGTTATTACCTAATTCGTACTAAAATGCGACTAAAGGTGTTGTAGCCGTCAATCGCTGAACTGGTGGTGGGTTCGGATTTTAGCTTTGGACTTTCACTTCGTTTTTGTACTGCTGAGCAGCAATTTTAACCGACCTGGGCCGGCCATGTCGGCGGGCTCCAGCGACCTGCCGGCGATGGTGATTTAACCCTGATCACTAAGCCTCTTACACGTAACTTCAAAAAATTTTCAATTACAAATTGAAATGCAGTATTATGGATCGGCCCTCCCTTTAGGAATTCGCCATCATCACGGTGGTCGATCAAGCGGACTTACACGAATTCGTGAGAGATTCTAGAAAGCAGCCACATCAACCATCATGGTTTCTTCACATTTGACCATGAATCAGTATCGGGTCAGAGCAGTTTTGTCCAAAGCAAAACCCTAGCACGGAATCAGCATCGGGTCACTTGTCAAGACAAGGAGGCAGTTTTGTCCTTGCGCTTTTGTCTGGTCCGAGCAGTCAAACAGGTTTGACGCCGGTCGGGGAAGGGGAAAGAGAAAGAGCAGAGAGAAGGGACGAGCTTGCCACTCAGCGTGCATCGTCGCCGCGTGTCCTGAAAACCCTCCGAAAACCCCTAGCGAAACCTGTGCAGCGCGCATAAGAAACAAGATGTATCTCTCTCCTGCTCCTCCTCCGCATCTCGCTTCGGTTAAGCTCCATGGCGTCGCCGGCCCAAAGGTGACTTCTTTCTTATCAGCCCTTCGAAAAAAATCCAATTTTTTGTTGCTGAAGAGCGTGACCCACGAACTGGGTCGCTCAATATGAAGAGTACGAAAAAGGGGGTGATTTTTTTCTTTTCTTTTCTTTCGAATTATAGGTTTTTTGGAGGAAATTTGGAGTTCATTGCTGTTCCCTGAAAATAAAAGAAGCGACGAGCTACATTCCCACAGCTCCAATTTTTCTCCCGGATGGACCGTGGAAGCAGGTGAGAAAGCATCCGTTTAGTGTTTTTTTATGAACCGGTGTTAATGTGCCTGTCTGTATATGGTCAAGGATCGACCATTCTTGAAATGGGAATAGCTGTGCCAGGAATGGGGAGGACTTGCGTTGTTCAAATGGTTTGGTTCTACTTAAGTTTGTTGTTTTCTTTCCGTGTCTCTTCATGGTTAAATAAAGGTCCTTTGTTTTGGTGATATTTATGCAAACGAGCAAATGGGGTCAGCGATATCTTTGAGACCGAGTCAATCGAGCAATTTAAGATTTTTTTTATTCTTTCATTGAGGCGTGGCATTACCATCGTAGCTTGTGATATTGAAAACTAAATCCAATAGTAACTCTACTGAGCAAGGGCTCATGTTGCAATGTCTGTACACGGATGCACGTGTCGGGCTGTTGATGAGTTCTGGATTTGCAACTTGAAAGCTACATGGTTGAACAGGGTGACGAGAATACGTGCTTTTTTGTTTTTTTTTTGGGGGGGGGGTGTGGAATGCCCATTATCAGATTGTTACTCTGTAATTCCTGAACTGCTTAAACGTTTTATGTAAGAGTTCTCATAATCTCTTTTGAACTTGTTGTATTTATTTGTGGCAACATTTATCTGATCAAACCAAGTATTGTGACGCTATAGATCCCTGGAGGGGTTACTGCTGCAGAGGGATTCAGAGCTGCTGGCATATTTGGTGGTTTACGTGCCAAAGGAGAAAAACCCGATCTAGCACTTGTCGTTTGTGATGTCGATGCCATGTCAGCAGGTTTGTCTTAAATTGGCAAATGTTTCTAGATTCATGGGCTCTTAGGGGACTGAATTTATGAACATTTTGCTGATTATTCAACCCCAATTTATGATAGGGTCGTTCACTACAAACATAGTTGCAGCAGCACCTGTTGTGTACTGCAGAAACACATTAGAAACGTCGAGAACTGTAAGCAAGCATTCTGTTGTTCTCAATAGTACTCTATATTTCTTCTTAATCAGATTTAGGAGCACAATGAATAATCGTACTTTTTTCTGGTGGCTGGATTATGTCATATAGATCGGTTTGCCGTTTCTTTTTGAGCAGCTGTTTTCTGTAGATTTGTTCACTTTTCTCCTTCGCTTTATCAGTTTGGGAGGCCCGGGGGGGGGGGGGGGGTGGTGGATGAGTTAGTGGTGTTGGATTTGTTGGCTTTTCTATTGCACAGATGCTAAGGAAAGATGTATATTTGCGCATGTTCTTGCACTCATGCGTGAATTCTTGAAATGGGAGAAAATAGAATAATATGGTGAAATAATTGATCCACTGAGAGTTTTAGTAAAAGATGCCTTGTGACATGCGATGCAATGTTTAAAGTACATATAAGAATCCAAAAGGACGTCAAATAAGACTTACAAAAGATTGTTAATGTTCGTCTTTACACAAGATAAAGCACAACAGCTTCAAAGGATCCATGTAATTAATCGCATTTGAGGGGTAGGCCTTGGTTGTTGTTGTTTTCCCTACCTGTACTTCCTCAGAAAAGTCCTAGCCAAAAACGGTCTTCCTTTGTTGTTAAATTTAATGTGTCGCTGTTTCTATGAAGAGCTTTATTATAGTACATAGATTATACCTTGATTTGACTCCTCAAAGACCCCCGATTTACTAGATATGCATATTTTTCAGGCACGTGCAGTGTTGATAAATGCTGGTCAAGCCAATGCAGCAACTGTAAGCTGACTCTTTGTGTAGTTCTCAACAACTGCATCTACCCATAGCTCTGCTCTGCTTGGAGTTTCATTTAGCGAAGTTTATACACCTCACAAAGAGAAATCAAGTTCATAGAGTGGCATATGATATAATTTTCACTGGATTTAGGCTCAACACCTCAATAGTTGGGGCTTCAACTGGCCGAATAATTTTGTTTTTTTTCCAGGGAGATGCTGGTTACCAGGACGTGATAGATTGTGTAAAATCTCTTGCTGAAGTATGTGACACCTTTACCTTTTTATTTTGAGAGGCAGTGCATTTGTCACAATTTTCATTCAGTTGGAAATCACAACTACATAATTGCAGCGGCTTCAAGTAAGTCCTGAGGAGATTTTGGTTGAATCCACTGGTGTAATAGGTCAACGAATTAAGAAGGTATATACAGTGTTAGTTCTCGTGATTGTTAAATTCTTTCTTCCTTGCACAACTCAGCATGTGCATGTGACCTATAAATACTTCAAAGTTTTGTTGGACACTTTTGGTAGAAGACATTGCTTTGCGGCCCATATGAATTAAACTGATAGTTTATCGTACCGCTGTCATATGCAGGATGCTCTTCTCTATTCGCTTCCAGATTTGGTTAATTCGCTATCACCAACTACTGAAGGGTATTTCTTAAGTCACTTTCTCGTTTTGTGTATAACCTTCTAGCATACCTACAAGATTGTTTTGCTTAACTTCATAATATCTCCTGTTTTCTTTATTCATTTGTTTTGAGACTTTGTAGATTCAACCAAACTATCCTTTTGTAACCCACAGTATATGTATTCAAAAGTTAAAGTTTTCTACCCCGGGCTGTGCAGTGCAGACTCTGCAGCCGTTGCAATAACAACAACTGACCTTGTGAGTAAGAGTGTTGCCGTTGAGGTTAAGGTAAACCTGTACTTATCATTTGCCTTCTTCAATTATCTTTGACACAACACCAAGATGAGTCGTCATCGTGTATTAACTGATATGTCCGACATCTGTGATATACCTGTTTTGACTATGCGATAGCCTTTGTCATATCTTACTTTTATGACTACCTGATATCAAAGGGGCCCGAATTTTAACAGGACTACATTTGTATTGAACTTTGTGTGCATATATCTTGTGACACTACTTGTTTGCACATTTACACTTACCAAGGATATAATTAGTAGCCATGACATTAACCTGGGAGTTGAAATTCCTATTCTGTTGCAATTTTCCTATTTGGAAAGTATTAAAAAAATTGATTCCCATTTACCTTGAGGGATGAAATTCTCGAGGTGCTGAAATTTATGGTACTCAAGTGTTGATCATCCTTGACCTTATTCCTTTTATGGAATTTACAGGTTGGTGGGACAAATGTTAGAGTTGGTGGAATGGCAAAAGGTTCTGGAATGATCCACCCAAATATGGCTACCATGCTTGGTGTAAGCATTTTTATACTTGTTTCTTTATATTTGTAGTTACTCGTCAACTGACTGATAGTGGTGTATTGTTAGGTCGTGACAACTGATGCTCTAGTCACAAGTGATGTTTGGAGAACGATGGTGCGGATTGCTGTGGACCGGAGTTTCAACCAAATTACTGTATGTATAGATCATTCTTCGAAAGATTTCCATTGAAATTGTTAGACATTTGTAGATGCTCCTGATAATCTAGCTCCTGATAATCTATTTCAGTTTTCCTTTTCCTGCTTGGCTGCTCAATTGTAGCTTGGATCTGAGTTAGCTGTTCATCTTTTGTTAGTATTTTTATACCAACAATTAGGCTTGGTTTACAGCTCATCTCCATTTAGGGCTAAAACAGAGAGAGTTTTCACTCCCTTTTACCATTGCTCATTTGCATTTCAGTCACTTGTAATCATTTTTGTTAGGCTGATGTTGGTATTAACTGCAGCATTCTTTTTTTTAAAACCTTTTTTCTGGTGAAACTGCAACTGCTCTTTGGCAATAGCTAAACAAGGCACAATCATGGCCAGTAAAAACTTGTAGCAAAAAACACATCCTTAAAGCCAAAGCCAAAGACTAGGTGTCACGGATAAAACATGAGCTATATTAACAGTTGTCTGTTCTCATTGTACTAGCTTGAGATATGAAAACTTTGGCCGTGGTGTAAGAGGCTATTAATCATTGTATTAGCATAAGCTTGTCTTTGCAGCAACACATGCAAACCTTGATTCAGTTAGACACAAAAATTTTCTTGCTTTTTGAAATTTGATTAAGTTGCTCCCGCTGAGGAGTATCTACCAAGTACAGAAACAGGCGCATGAAGGAGCCTTCACCAGAAACTGCCTAAACTATGGGGAAGACTGAGTAGTAAGAGTCTTAGAAACAACCTCCCCTATTTTTGTGGGGGTGATGTTGCATGCTGAGCCATCCTTCTGAATATTAAGGAGGTCTTTGTGCTGAGTTTGTTATCTTCATGCTTTGGCTTTTTTAGTCTTCCTGATCTGTTATTAGTGTCTTTGTAACTGACCTCAGTGGTCTATTGTAGTTTTCTCCCATTTCATCTATCCCATTGCCATCTATGCTTTGTCAATTTAAACATGATTTTGGTGCTATGCTGAGTATGCTGCATCAAGATGTTATGACTGTAGGGGCCTTTGTTATGGTAATGCATCTCCGTCTTTGTTTAAATATCTACATAGATATACTCAGTTCTAATATTTCATTTATTGTCACATTAACAACTAATCTTTGCCATTATATGGCATCCACTCATTCAAGTTATTTAAAGGTATCCATGGTTGTGAAATGAAGTTTATGAGCTAATTAACAATTGAAAGCATCTGTAGTTGATTTCCTGCAGGTAGATGGAGATACCAGTACCAATGATACTGTCATTGCTTTGGCTAGTGGCTTATCTGGATCACACAGGATATCTTCTTTGGACTGTGATGAGGCAATGCAACTTCAAGCATGCCTTGATGGGGTAAGCTTGAGGCAACTTTTTCTGTGGCTTATATTTGGTGCACGTCTTGAGGTTTTGACTATTAATACCATGCTATGTAATATGCATCGTCTCCTTTCATTTACTCAGAGTCTCAAACTCCATAATTTGTATAGGTGAATGCTTGTTTAAACTGCACTTTAGTTTGTAAAATTCTGCGAAGCATGGGGATAGATGTACAGATTGATTAAATGCTAGATATGAATGCCACAATCTTTATATATATTAGTTAAAGATGGTACTAGAAAAGACTCAAAGCAAGCACAGCAGCTTAATGAAGAGACGTTTTGTATGTTTCAATTTGCATTGTTCTAATGCTCGGGATAGTCTTTATTTGATATCTTGTTAATTGGGAATATGTTACTGATGATTTACACATTATTTTCAGGTGATGCAAGGTCTTGCTAAATCAATAGCATGGGATGGAGAAGGAGCGACGTGCTTAATTGAGGTTTGCATGTTATATATCCCAAGTAGCAGTGTGAAATTTATCTTTTGAAACATCTTTTTAATCTCACAATTAAAAAAATTAATTAGTTGAAGGCATCCTTGCGACGGATTCTTTCATCATCTTATTGCAAGACTGAATCATACCCACAATATATTGAGTGTAATATACTTGGTTACAATCTGCACTGCAGTATAAATTCAGTAAGACGCCAGGTAGATACTCTGGCAAATCCATAGTTTGGCCATGTCAAGTAACGGTATCTTTTTTTATACAGTCAAGTGACAACATCTTATTATATGGTTTTAGGGTTGCAGGGCCGAAATCAGGTATTATTTTCATGTTTTGTGATTGGAGATGGTCTTAAGCTACACTGTAGTGTAAAGTGGTAGAAATACACTCAGATAGTCCCTCACTGATTAAGGAATTATTCTGTTACTCAAAGAAAAAGACAGGGCAAAAAGAAGCAAGGATTTAACGTGTCATGAATCTGTTATGCCCAGTCCTTGATGATGCTTATACATATTAATTCTCGATAATTGGCGTGTGTTCTTTGTTTCTCGAAATCGTGGTCTGATGGCTGATCTCCTTTTGTTTTTCCTTTAGAAACTTTTTCGTTGTTAAGTGGCAACCCGAATATTTAATCCTGTCTGATCTTTTGGTGACCAGACGAGATTGATGCAGTTTAGCTAGAGTATGAAGGATATGGGTTGATAGATTGTTTTATCCTTTTCAAACTGATACAGGTCAATGTGACTGGTGCCAACAGTGAGGCTGAAGCAGCAAAAATTGCACGGGCAGTTGCATCTTCATCTCTTGTTAAGGTATGGTAATAAACTTGGGCATTCAGCTTAGGTTGGTTGTCAAGCTAACTGACAGTGAAGTTTGTGAAATTAGGCTGCTGTATATGGAAGAGATCCGAACTGGGGACGCATTGCTTGTGCTGTTGGCTATGCTGGAGTTCCATTTCAGTTAAATAAGCTCCGTATAATACTTGGTGACATTCTTTTAATGAATGGTGGACAGCCACAATCATTCAACAGGTAATAGGGAGAGAACATATTCTGTGGTTGGAACTAGGGTTTATTTTAAGAGCTTAGCTATGATGTTAATTGAATGTTACGACAAGAAAATCTGTTGAGCACTGTAGTTAAATACAAGATAATCAGTGTGAGTGGTTGCTTCACAGAGTTGCAGAACTATGTTTGTTTGTTTCATTCTTTAGAGAAGGTAACCTATCGCCAGTTTCAAAGATAGAAAGGATGTATTTCTTGTCGAACTCTAAACTAAATTGCTTTTTGCTCGACCATATTTTTAATCCCATCACCCTTCATCTTAGCAGAAATGAAGCCTTTTGAATTTTAAAGAGTGTGCATAATTTTTGGCTTTTTGGCCCAAGAACTGAGCATGCTTGAAAGAAGTCATTTTCACCAATTTAGCATGTGATATTTCTGTCTCATTCGTCTTTGTTCTAAATGAACTGAGCAAATTACAGGGATGTGGCCAGCAACTATCTCAGGAAGGCTGGTGAGATCCATGGTTCAGTTGGAATTCAAATCTCTGTTGGTAAGATCTTGTACTTATCTTTTGCAAGTTGCTAGCTCTTATCATGTTGACTCTGCTCCTAATACAATATGTTGCATAAAGATAGCAAACATCACTCATCATCAAGCTCCCTTGAGTTTGAGGGATAGCACTGTAGCATTCCGGGAAAATTGTGGCAAGCATCTGTTTTTGTTCATTTCGTTTCATGTCCGCGGTTGTGGGTGTGGATGTGGTTGGAGAGTCGCACTGCAAATTGCTCCTCTGATTCATCAGATGAGCATAGATATTTCCGCGTGATAAAGTTCAAGACCCCCTAAGATCTGTTAGGAGGCTTAGAAAGCTCGCTTCTTCCTGAAGGTTACTTTCTCATGTTAACTGATGTGACTTTTCTGTTCCCCGGGTAGCACTCCATGTATTTTTTTTAGGCGAAAAATGGTCAGCTTCCTCCCCTTTATTGTAAAATATGGTAAGCGTGGTAAAGTCCCATGTGATAAAAGTGTTCGTGCATGTCACATGTATGAACACTTTTGCACATTTTATCCTAAATTAAATACCACCTTGGACACTGTAGAAATTTTCTCTAGATGATGGACTTCTGTGCATCAACATGCTGTCTTACCCGACCTCCTGTTTCCATGTTCACTTTTAACAGTTCTAGTCCTTGCCGAAATTGTATGGTGTCAACATCCTCCTGTCCATGCCGAAATTGTAGATATATCGACTCTGTTTTGCTTTCTGTGACTCTTACCTTCATCTCTTATTTCCTTGTTTTCTCATCGCCGAAGATTTCTCATTGTACACTTATGCAACCGTCGTTCGGCTTCACATTCTTTTCAAACAGGTGATGGACCAGGGAGTGGGAAGGCATGGGGCTGCGATTTGAGCTACGATTATGTGAAAATAAATGCCGAATACACGACTTAGAACAGACGACATCCATTCGTCACCTTGTTGGTCTGCTAGTACTAAAACTATTTAGTGCTTCTATAGCTAAGGTTGTACAAGGTTGATACGATTGCGGGTTTATCATTCAGCTTCGTTGTTTTGATGCAAATCGACTTTAATCACTTTCATAAAGTGGTCATAAACCCTGTAATAGGGATAGTAATTCATGAGCAGATTGGCTAGCAAATCACGCCCTTTGTTTGTTCTACTACCTCGGGTAGTCTGCTTCCTTTTCTTGAAGGTGATCAAGCCTGCAAGAGGTGTTCCATTTGTAAGCTGGTTATAAATAGCTCAGCAATAAGAATTTTCCACAGAATTTTGCACCTTCTAGAGCTATTTGAAATGGGATAAACTTATTACAGGTTTTCAACATAATTGCCTTCCTTTCTTCATGACACTGGAAGAGGACGATCCTCAGAGAGTAGTGGCTTCTCAGTACCAAGCAAATCCGTCACTACTCATATACCAACTGGCTCGTCGTTACTACCTAAATACCAACTGGCTCAGAACACAATTTATTCTTGAGAAACTAACCATAACTCGAATAGAGAAACCACGAGATCAGTTTCCCATAGTACTGTGCCTATCTAAATGTTGAGGCAATTTATGACCGAAGGAACTCGGCACAAGGTTTAGTGGTCATGAATTTATTGTCCTTTTCCTTTTGGTTGGTCACATATTCTCATTTACGAACACCAATGTCCTTAACGAATAGTTGGAAACACCCTCTTCAGTTTCCGCGAAAGAACGGAATACATAGGGCCAAATGAAGGGTCCATCAGATATATGGAAAAATGTAACGCTCACTGAAGAGTCATATATAAACAACATAGCTAATACCGTGGTTTGACAAAACATTCGCACTAGGTGTCCCAAAACATCAACACAACTGTTGTCCAAATATGAGTAACTCAGACGGTCTTAAAATAGTCGTCAAACAAAACCACTTGTTAATATTATTTATATACATCACCTCTGAAGAGTTCAGATCATCAACTAAAGAGATCATCTCACAATGCCTTTGCAGCAGAGTAGTGCACCTGAGCCAGGGAGTTCTTGAAGAAGCTGCTCCCACAGGAGGAGTCCGGGACAGGATTTCCAATATCAAATTGGCGCACATCATCTGCAATGCTGAGACAGCGATCATTATCGTCCAGCTTGTTAAAACATCTATCGGAACTCCCAGATGGTCGGCGAGATTGCTTCTTTTTCTTGTCCCTCTTGGAAGAGTCCTTGCCAGATGCTCCTCGTGAGAAGTCTTTCCCCTTCTGGCCTCTCTTTCCATTTCTCTTATCCTTCTTGGGCACCTTCTGTTGCTTTGTGCCCCTATTGAGGAAGTGAGAAACTGATGTTGGTAGTGGATCATAGACATCTGGAGCCCATCTCACTGTAAGCTTCCTAGGAGAAGCACCTTGTTTCTCACGAGTACCTTTCATGGCAGATACAAGCTTCAAAGAGGTCTGCAACAGATAAAACATTAACAACAGATAAATGCACATACAAATAGCAAATGGCAAACCATGAAGAGGAAAGTCACAAGAAGCACATTCTCATTGACTCCGACGGTGGCTAGGTAAATATTGAAATAATGCTTCTAAGTATGAACCACCAGAAGGATAGAACTGAGTATATAAAAGCACTTCTCCCTTCTCTTTAGAACAAGCTGCCATCATGAACTGACACTAAATCATCCATAGACATAAAGAACTTACAGAAATGTTAAAGACAAATGCAAACACCCGGCTCCTTCCACTTTGTTGCAGGAAGGCTACCTTTTTAGTTCATGAGGATAACACTACAAACGCTATATCCAGTGGCTACTCAATAGTACCTAGGACCACATTAAAACGTGAGACGACCAAAGGAAACAAAACCAACATGTTGAAAAATGAACAATTTCCGACAAGAAAACATTAGTCAGGTAAGAAACAAAGAAACTAGCAAAAAAGAAAGGCTGGAGAACGAAAAAGAGAAACTAGACAGAAATTAGAAAGCAAAAATAGGAGCCCCGTAAGGGAAGCAGGATCTTAGACCATCAGAAGTAGAGCAAGCCCTACATCCACGACTGGGAAAGAACTTACAGGAAAGGAAATTGAACGTGAATAGACATTGTTAATGTGCTCCTCCGAGAAAAGTTCTTGCAAAGCCGATTCTGGCTCATAATCCTCTTCATCAGGGAACAAATGTGGAGATAACTTCTCTCCAGGTAATGGAAAAGTTGCACATCTATTGAGACACTTCTCATGTGACTTAGCCTTAAGCCCACAACTTCCATGTGATTTCTCTGCTTTCAAAGTACCAACTACAACTTCACCATCTTCAACATGTAAAACATTACCCAGAGTATTGCCAAGTTCACTCATCAAGTTTTCACAGGCTAAAGAGTTGGTCCCAAAAGTCGAACAGCATCCGTCCATCGATGTGAGTATCTAGGGGAAAGAAATGCAAAAGGAAACAAAGTCAGCAACAGTTGATGATTTAATGTTCAAGAATAACCAAAAAACGAAAAAGCAATATATGTTCTCCTCCAAATACTAAGAGACTGAAGTGCACAGAGACTAAGGGAATTTGATGACAAGGAGAGAGATTAAAACCGAAAGTTCACCCATCAGTTCATATGCATATACAAATAAAAACAATTCAAATCCACCAACAATGCTTCTCTGTAAAACCATTTGTAGGGAATTCCACCCAAGGAAATGATGAGCTACAACAACATACTCAGGCGGCATTAGCACTGGAAAGGATTCCTGAATACAACATGATGATGAGCACATCCCCAATAAACCCGACTGCAGGATTTTCACAGACCGACAACATACAGTTCGTGAACATAGGTAAGACTGGGACACAAACAAGCTCACGAGCCGAAGAATCCTAGGAAATATTCATCCTTCAAATTGAACAAAGGTTGTAGGGATAGAACATTAACCCCTGTAATTTTCAACCAATAGAGAAACTGGCAAAAAGAGAGAGCGAACGGCTTTGCACATTTTATCCATCTTCCTTTGGCTCCTCATGGCACTTTATCAATTAAGCCCCGCAAAAATGGTGATTATCGCAAATCACAAGTTACGAGCAAGACTTTCAACAGAAAAAGCGCCATACCTTACAAGACGGCGGCAAAGGGCAGTCGAAACGGTTACAAAACCTCAGCAACTCGCACAGCTCGGTACAAGTCCGTCAATGGCCAAGAACTTTTACGTCGCACAACAAACAGAAGAGAGAGCTAGGCAAAAGAAAAACCTAAACGCAGCTGCGAAGAGAGAACGCCGACGGTAACGATGGAGAGCCTAATGTTAACTAAGATTACCACGCCGATCGCCTTTCTCGAGGTGTTTCAGGCGGTGCGGGCACAAGCCACCGTGGAAGTAGGTCAGGGAAGGGATCAGGAGGTGATCGCAGGGCACCGAAGGCATGGTGAAATGCTCTTCGAAAACCCCCCGGCTCACGAGGCCCTAACAACGGAGCGCCGGGGCCTCAGGGCGTCGCCACGGTGGCCGGCGGCGTATCGACACGAGCCTACGGCGGCTGGGCGAGGAGGAGGAGGAGGAGGAGGAACAGGCTCGAACGAGGGCGGCGATCTGCGCGGATCGAGGCTCCGATTCGGTGATTCTTCAGGTGACGACGCTCATGCCTGGCCGATTCGAAGGGAAGATGAGAGATCGAAGCAAGATGAAGATGAAGCTGAGAGTGAGAGAGAGAGGATAGAGACAAAGCGCGTGAAGATGAAGATGAAGATGAAGATGAAGATGAAGTAGAAGGAGAAGATGGGGGAGGGACAGGTGGGTCAACGGATCGGCAGGCGAGATGGACGGCGGTCCGTCGAGGAACGAATCTGGAGCGTACACGTGTTTACAGCGAGGGCGTGTACTTTTCCACGCTTGCTCTTGCTCAGATATTTGCCGGATGCTGGGTGGGCCGAAATGTTGGGCCCATTTGGACAGGCCCTCTACAAGAAGAACGACTTGCATGGACCCGGTCCATGGAACAAAAATAATCACGGCCGTTAATAATGAGGCCTAATTCAAAAAAAAAAAACATCAACTTTTACCTTGAGTTACAATTCTAGTCCGAACTTTTTTGTCTCATAAAATATTACCAAATTTTACTTAAATCCCAAATTCGACTCGAACAATTTGAAAATTTCACATCACGGGAGCCAGATTTGAGATTCAAGTAAAAACTGGTGCTTTTTATTGAGATAAAAAAAAAAAGTTCGGGCTAGAATTATCAGTAAAGGTAAAGTTGATTCTTTTTTTTTTGGAATTAGCCCTCAATAATGTGGATCCATCAAGGCTCCCATGATCAACGGCTTTGACAAATCCGAGTCCAGATAAGCCAAGCCCGAGATAAACTAAAGATGATTAATGGGAAGTCCGGTCGCCCGGCCTGGCCGAGGATGACTCAGGCTGATGAGGCCCGATAGTTAAATGGACATATTTGGATGACATTTTTACAAGGAAAAGTTCAATCCACCCAATTTTGTGGTGGGCTTGGTCTGAAAATTTCGACTACTTAATTTCATGTTTCGAGCACGATTGGATAACACATTAGATCCAATCTTTAGGCCCGTCAATACTTCAACTTAAACTTGGTAGGGCCAATGGTGTGTGAACAAAATAAATTGCCATTGTACTTTTAAAAAATTACTTACCGTTTTTTCATAGACGAATCCGCCAATGGATTCTACCTATGTGGACTTGACGCCGTTAAATTTTATTGAGGCTAAACGGCTTCTTCTTACTAAAATGGAGCGACTCCCTCTGCCTCTCTCTTCTTCCCTCTCCCTCCATCTCAAATATCGATAGAAGACAATAACCAAGTGCAATGCCGTGGTTCTCCCCCGATAAACAAAAAAAAGAAAGAAACTATTTTAGATGACTGGACCATCACGTGAGCAATTTCTTGTAAAAATTAACCGAACTGACCGCATTGAAATTTTGCGCAATGTTTTTAAAAAGTTCAGGACTAAATTAGCATCCATACTAATTAGGTAATTTTTGCATGGAAGAAGGAAGTACTTCTCTCGTACCCATATTGTATTTCCTTCAACAAGAAAAATGGAAGGAAATGCAAATATTGCTATTTTTTTTCAAGATCGCCCTTATATTTTTTAGGGTAAAAGCAACCAAAAATCTTAAACTATACCAACCGTGATATATTTACCCTAAACTTTATTCTGTGACGCAAAAAATCCCAAACTTGTATATGTGTGACACGTTTATCCTCTATCAAAATTATGTTAACGGGAACCGCTAAAATCTATCTACATGGATGCTGGATAATAAAAAAATGTTGATATGGCGCCCACGTAACTTAAATGAAATACAATGACGTTATTTTGGCTGAAAAATCATCTAACAGAATCTTGACCGAGGGTAAATATGTCGTACAAGTACAAGTTTGAGGTTTTTTCCATCACAAGAAAATTTTTAAATTAAATATGTCGCGGTTGGCATAATTTGGGGTTTTTGATATTGCAAAAAAATATTTGAGGGTAAATATATCACGGTAAGCATAGTTTGAGGTTTTTTTTGTTGCTTTTTTCCTGTTTTTAAAGTATGACTAAGATCATGGATAAATAAATCTATTTGAGAAACTAATTTCCCTTCACATTGTTTTCCCTCAACACGCATCCAGACATGATAGGGAGCTTCGTACTATTCGTATATGCTATGTTTGTTTCGCGAAAAATGAATAACTTTGAATTTTTTTTTCAAAAAAATGATTGTTTGTATCGCTTGAAATAATTAGTCAATGAAAAATATATTCATCGTTAATAGCAATTTATATCTAAAATTTTTTGTAAACGATAAAAATATTTTTTTATTCATTAATATTTTAAGCGATATAAACGATCATTTTTTTGAAAAATGTTTTCCTGGTCATTTATTTTTTGCAAAACAAATAGAACCTTAATACCATTTCGGTGGGAACTATGCACCGTATTAACTTCCAAAAGAATAATTTTGATGTTTCCTGCGACTTGAGTTTCCAAAGTGACTTTCAACTTGATGCATTAGTCCCCAAACTCGTGGCTATAACTTGCTTTTGAGACTCAATATACCCAGATTCGAGGGAGAACTCGCCCTTGCCATTCGGTATCTAGAGGGGTAAGCATCGAGTTCGGTGCAACTCGGGAAACGGACCGAAGTAGCCTGCACCGATAGGTTGAAGGCTCGCTTGTAGGAAAAACTGTTTGAGTTCCTAATTCCACAAACTTGGAACTAGCCCAGAATTGGTTCATCGATTCCAAAGACCATAATTGCTCGTTTCGAGGTTTGGCCAGTTCTAAATCAGTTTTGAAACCTCTCTTAGAAAAATAAAAAAACTTTTACATTTATTGAGAATTGAACCTGGCCTTTAACGTGAATAAATAATAACATAGGTTCTTGTAGTGAAATGGTGCTACTTTTAATTTTACAATAAGAATTTGATTTCTTACACAAAAGAGGGCAAGTTTTCCCGGTATAATTGAGAACTAGCTGTTTCAGAACCGACCGGTACGATTCTTGATTCCAATCTGTTGGAAACGAAAGTCGCATGGTCGTTCTACGATTTTAGAACGACCCTGTTACTTCCGTTTCCAACTAATTGGAATCAAGAATCGCATTGGTTGATTCTGAAACAGCTTTAGAGGGGAAATCGGTCTACCTTGAAATCGATCATTGTTATCTAGATTGAGATATCTTCAATTTCAAGTGGACTGACTTCGTATCCTTCCTAAGCAGGAAAGATTAGACAAACAGGGTTGATTGAATACGGGAGTTAAAATGGAGTACTTTTCATACCCAAAAAAATGGAGTACTTTTTGCCCTTTTCATTTGTTAGGTAGATAAAATAATCACACAATGATTTACTAGAAGATAATATATTTGAAAATTCGTAATACAAAGATAGGAAGGTCTTTTCTCACATTCAATTTGCAATGATCCAATTATTAATTCCTTTAAAGAGGGCTGTTGACACTCTTTTGTCGCGAACAACTATAAATAAACTGGAAAAGATATCAATTTTGTTAAGACGCGAATGTGATATAAATTTAATTTGCTCCTTTTTTTACTTTAAATTTTTGCCATACTGATTCATTATCTTGAGTTTTTTTCATTTTAAGTTGGCTAAATTTTTTTTTGGATAAAAAAGATAATAGTTTGCTAATCTTCTCATCGGATTTCATTTTAATCCATTGATATTTTAGATTTTATTTTTGTAATTCGCTAAATTTTCCAATATATGTCACATGGGCGGTGTTGGCCGTAACGAACGGTAGGGTTATGATGATGGTGGCCTAATTAATGCACTGAAAAAATGTGAATTTTTTGGAAGTATCTAGGTTGAGTATAGATTGGGTTAACTAATCATCATTCATGGTGTACGCGTACAAATTGCATGACTATTAGATATATGGATCATTTTGGTTCGAATAATATTTTAAATTAGACCTGACCGAATCCATCCACTGGTAGCCCTATATCATGTTCCTTAATGTTAGGAGATGACATTTCTATACACATTGCTATTTTAAACATTTTCCTTAGTTAAAGCCCATCTCAATAGTAATCAACATATCTCTATTCAATTAAAAACACCGAATCTTTAACAACGAGCAAACGGTAACATTCGAAATCACCTAAAAATATTTCCAACATGTTTTGTTTCCCAAAAAAAATTAAGTTGTTTCCCGTTTCGAAAATTCAAAAGAGCTAGATCCATCCGAATTGCCAACTTTTTCACATTTGAAGTTGAAAACTATGCCGCCATCTTTTGCGGTTGCTCATTTTGTTAACAGATTCCGTTGGCCAAGTGCCCCTCTCTCTCTCTTCACGTGACTGGCCACTTTCAGTTAGACACGGATCGCCACCTCATCAATCCGCAACCGTTCACGAGCTCCCCCATCCAACGGTCCGTGCCCACCGACGGACGAATCCGGGTGCCCTCTCCCGCTGTCCACCCCCGTCCGCTCCATTTAAACACCACCTCGCGACCCACCTCTCTCCCACAGGAAAGTTCCGCCCTCCTCTCTCTCCCACACACCTTTCGATCCGGTCGGCAGATGGAGTCGCTGGGCAAGCCGAAGAAGGGCGCCGGAGGCAGGAGGGGAGGCGGCCCGAAGAAGAAGCCCGTCTCTCGCTCCGTCAAGGCCGGCCTCCAATTCCCCGTCGGCCGTATCGGTCGGTACCTGAAGAAAGGCCGCTACTCGCAGCGCGTCGGCACCGGCGCTCCGGTCTACCTCGCCGCCGTCCTCGAGTACCTCGCCGCCGAGGTATCTCTCTCTCTCTCTCTCTCTGCTTTTAGTCTTCTGCATTTCTAGGTTTTCGACGGACTCGGAGCTTGCGTTTGCGATCGATCGAGAATTTCGGAATATTCCTTGCTTCGCCTTAGCCACTCGCGCTCTCATCTCTAACGAGATGATTCGGTCAAACTCGAATCTCTGCGATGCGAAGCTGAGACCAGCGCTGCTGTCCAGAGCATCTTGGATATGCTTTCGTTTTGCAATCTTCCCTCATTTGCATGCCTACGCCGTCATACTTAGAGCTTGTGGGGGGGTGGGTGTGTAGGTTCTGGAGCTGGCGGGCAATGCGGCGAGGGACAACAAGAAGAACAGGATCATCCCGAGGCACGTGCTGTTGGCGGTGAGGAACGACGAGGAGCTCGGGAAGCTGCTCGCCGGAGTGACGATCGCGCACGGAGGCGTGCTCCCGAACATCAACCCGGTCCTCCTGCCGAAGAAGACGGACAAGGGGAGCAAGGAGCCCAAGTCTCCGTCCAAAGCCACGAAATCACCAAAGAAGGCTTAGGCTTTGATGTTAGGGTTTAGGGTCGAGAACTTCTGGTTCTCATAGTTTGAATATCTGGTGCTCTCTCTCTCTCTCTCTCCGTGTACGTACTGCTTAGTCTTGAAGCAAATCGAGTTGTTCATGTAGGTGGTGGATTTTTAGATTCTTACTGTGGACTTGTACCTTCGGTCCTGTTGCTTCAATGAAATGAGATGGCGAGATTTTACACGTTTCCCCTTTTCCCTTCACGTGAAAAATTGAAAGCGAAATTGGGCGGGAAGTGCCCCACGTTTTGCTCCCCTCTCGGGTTTTAGGTGGAGGAGCAACACCGTATGCGAGAAGGTTGACGTGGAAAGTTCGTATCGATTGCGAACCGATGGAGAGGAGAGATTTGGTCGGTTGCTCTTTCTCTCGCTGCATTTGCGTGTTGGCAGCGGTAGCCACCTCCGGTCGTGTTCTGATAAATTGTCTTACAACGTGAGCAGGAAACATCTGAGTCGCGATGTTTCGTCCGTTAATTTGTTTTGATAGCGGGTGCGAATTTGGTTCGATAACAAGTTCATGGACGGACGGACGGACACGGGCAGAAGAATCAACTGATACATAGGAATGTTTTTTGCTGAATGCTTCGATCTACTGTTTAAATATATCTGCCGCAAACTCATAATATATGGTAAATTGGAAGATCACTCGAGTAGACAAGGAACCCTGAATTTATTGTGCAGCTGTCGCGGTGAATCTGCGGCAGACATTTTGAAATAAGGCCATTGCTCTAAGGGTGAGCACGGTATGTCCGGTTCGGTTCTCGGTTATAGAGAGAAAGGTTCCGGTTCTTGGTTTCACTTTTTTAGGAACTGCCGGTCCCGGTTTGGTTCCTAGTTCCTACAGGAACTGAACCGGAACCGGGATTCCCTAAAACATTAAATCCCTAATTTCTTTCTTCATTCTTTCGGTCTTCTCCCAACACTTTCCCTTTTCTTTCCACCCCTCACTGAGACGCTGCATCCCTGCTCTTTCCACTTCTCAGTTCTCGATCCTCTTCGCGACGACAACGCTGCATCTCCTTTCGTTTGCTGTCACCGACTTACCGCTGCCGGCCGCTTCTCTCTCGGTCTTCTCGTCTCGCTTGGCGAATTGGAACGGATATGGCGTGTTGATTCTTCGCCTGTGACTCCTCGCTTCCGCTTGTTTCTTCTTCTTCGTCTCTCCAATTTCAGCGGAATAAGCGTGTTCGACAGGTAACGCCTCTCTGATTATTTCATTTTCTGTGCCAAAATCTAACCCTAGCTCTTGCCCACTTCGCTGTGTGCTCTTCTAGATGATATTTCGTGGAGTCACCACAGGTTGTTATCTCATGTCGTCTGCGTATTGCTAGGTCGGATTCAAGTTAGCTTTGTATGTGTGATCGGCGCTAGCGGAGTTGAATTTAGCTGAAAATTGTCATGGAACGTGAGTGTGGTTGAGTAGTTTTAGGCGACGAGGAAGCAAGTGGATGTGAATGACCGAGTTCAATCATTGTTGAGAAATGTGCATCTTCATGCTTTCGGTCTAAAGTAGAAAGTTGGTTCTATGATACGCACCGAATGAGCTTGAAACAAGAACCACTATTCAATTTCGTTCATCAAATGCATCTAACTTTTACTTACTCACACTTTGATGCACTTTGGCTGTTCTTCTATCGAGGCAGCCATGGCTACTTTGCTCTTGTTATTACTAAGCGGTTTTTGTTTTAATCGTGATAATATCACTTCATATTGATGGATGTTCTGTTCTGTCCCTATGTTATGAAGGATTTTTAGTAAGAATTCGAATCAAGGCAAGCACTTGTAAATGTTAGAGAGCCCACATGTAAATGTTCAATTGCTATCGGCTAATCTGTTCTTGTGTTGTTTGCTTGGCTATTCAAGTGCTTAAGTTCTCTTGGCTAATCTATTCTCGTGTTGTTCGATTAGCTGTTCAAGTGCTCTATGCTAATTTGTTATTGTGTTGTTTACTTGGCTGTTCTGTTCAAGTGCTCTTGGCTATTCAAGTGCTCAAGTGCTCTCGGCTAATCTGTTCTCGTATTATTTGCTTTGCTTGGCCAGTGTTGGTTGCTTGACTTATTAAGATAACATGTCAATGGAGGTGAAGGGTAGTGATGAGATGACTCTGATCACACAATTAGAATTGTCGGGCGATGAAAATGAAGAAGAGCCCCATCCCCTTGACAGATGTTGGCTTATTTATCGGGTGTTCGATCTGCAATTATCTATGAATTGTTTAGTAGCTTTCCCTTGACAGATGCTAGGAACGTTGTTGGTGGATCCACATTATTATTCTTGGAACAAAAAAAATTATTTTTGAATGAACAGAAGGCTTTTAGCATTTTCACTTTTTTTTAATGAACACAAGATTATAAAAGCTCGGCACCCCAGCTTCTAGTCATTTTGCTTTACTTTTGTGTACTTGATTTGATGTTGCAACTTCTTTAACTAAGTAGCCATTGCAAGAATTTTTTTGTCATGAGTTGCGATGCTACGTGAATCTCAGAGGCTAGTTTGCTAGTTCCTCTTCATGGAACTTCGATTGTGTCTTTCTTGTTGTTTCCCTGATCCTTTTGAGCTTTAGTATAGGCAAATTCATGAGGCTAGTGGTCCGGCATAACGTTCTTTACAAAGGAGCTGTCTCATTTAGCTTATTATTCTTTGTCCATGAATTCATCATATCTTACTGGATTGTGGGGTAGTTCAAGTAGATGCATTGACAGTAGATCACCTTGCCTCCTTGGAAAAGGTACAAAAAACTCACTGAGATTGTCCTAAGGCGTGATGTTTTTGTAGTTATGATCATCTATTTGTAGTTGAACCTACCCGTTGGAACTTGGAACCTGTTAGACCCTAGAACTAACCCTGAAACCTGTGACATAATATGTTTCAGATTCTAGATTCTGACGGATAAGTCATAGGTTCCAAAAAATGAGAAACCTGTACCCGAAGGTAGGTTTCAAGTTCCAAGTGAAACCTGTAAGGAACCTGAAACCGCTCACCCCTAATTGCTCCGGAGTTTGTTAGCTACTGCAATTGCACAATGAACTTCTCGTTTGAAAGAAGTGTTAGTACATTCTCTACAATATAATCCAACCGGAAGAGTAACTCGACCAACACGAACTAAACTTTTCGTGACCAACTCAAATCAATTCTACACTACCATAAACGCAAACCAAACCTCTAGGAACCATTGAACATACTGAATTTGGAGCCATAGTCGTAGCTGAGGGCTTTCCATTATGTTAGCAAGTTAGGTTGGATGAATCCAGGTAATAATAGAATTTACACTACCAATTCTTCTTTCAAACTCAGCAATAATAGCCAGAACTGGAAAGCAAATATTCCTGCTTAAAAATGTCATGTCAATGACATTGAATGCCCAGTGTAACTTATCCCAGTCAATCTCTCGTGAACATGCAATCACTTTACATAGCAACATGCCAACTACACTAACTGGTGCAAAATCAATGGTATGAGTCAAATTTCAATGTATTCAACTTAAGTCCCCCGAGAACTCACCAAACGACATGCCATCCTCGACTCTTAGATAGGTTTCAAATTCCCAATTAATAAGGAGGTCTTGATCAATAGAGTTCGTCAGATGTATAACAGTCACAGCCATTCACAGGACCAAGTGAACAAAGAGCAAAGATGGAGGGAGGATTTATGTTCTCATAGGCCATACACATCTTACCCGACAGCCACTGTTAAAAAAGAAAAACAAAAGAATAGAAATTCGACCTCTGCAGTGTCAATGCATCGATTTGCATTTCAAGGCAACAGTAAATCCAAGAGTTTGTTCTAATAATATATCCACCAGAACATGCCTATAGCAGAAATTCAAGCCTCGAGCTATAATCTCCTTTGCTTCAGTTTCTCCATGATGGACATCTTTTCATTCATTCGGTCAAGATAATGATATCAAAATTTTAAGTATGTTTGGAATCTCTCATTCTAAACTCTCTTACCTTATACCATCCAATAATGCAAATGCAAGAGAGTATGAGCAGTAACATAACCAATGAAACCGATGTCATTATCTAGCCTTGCGATTAGCTTTTTGGCTTTCAAAGGTGTGAACTTAATGCAAACAACGGGCTCTAAAACAGCTCAAGACTGGGTCAAGAGGGGAAAAGGAACTGTAACAGAAGTACATCCAACGAAAAGTAGCCTCTTTATTCTGCAACACAGGCCTATACGAGTCTTCTGTATTGTCCAGCTTGTATATAATGGCTCAGAAATGACAACAGCAAAATCACAAAACCTGAAACTTGAAGAGCTTGAGAGATGATGGAGGCTTTACACACGTCATTTCTAACGGAGAACAGGAAAAAACACCATTCAGCAATATCTCCTTCCAAGCCTATTTCATTTCTTTGCAATATCTGGGCGAGCTCCATTAAAACCTGTGAGATTGATAAGAAGGAAGGAAGAACAAAAGGAGATGCTCAGAAGGTCAATACAATCTGGCTAGAGGAAAGAAAAAAAGAAAAAGAAAAGATATAAGTAATATCAAGAAGCTACCCTCACTTTTATAGTAATGCAGTCCTACATAAAACAATCGGTAATACTAGGAGAAGGAAGACATTCTACATACATGGAAATTCTACACCATTTTCAGGTGACATAACCTTTGACCTAGACTGTCCAGATTATTCGAGCCAGAAACAATCGACAAACAATGCACATATGCAGTGGTCCTAGTGGGCATGGCTATATGTTGAAGTAGCAGTGGGGATGGTGCTAGAGGCAGAGGAGAGCAAGGTGTTCGCAGAGACAGCAGTGAAACTCATGGTAGTGGTACCATAGTTGCTGGTATTGTCAAAGTCGGTGTTGGTGGTGGAATGGTGGTTGGCATGAGGTGAGGAAATTTTCCCAATATTGTTTTTACCTTTCTGTATTCTATCCCAATCACTTCCATCCCCTGCCCCCACCTCGTCTAGATGAACACGGGCACATACGTGCACATAAATGGTATTTTCTAACTTTTCCACCTAGTAACCACACAGCTAAATATGCTACGGTTTATGTGGTGAACTCACCAAGAAGCAAGCTCTTGCTTAGTTATCTTATTGAACATATGTTGATCATCATCAAGAAAGTGTTTATTTGCCAACAAGATCACAATAACTCCACCCAATGCCAACATGTCTCCTTTAAAAAAGTGAAATTAAATAACTTCCCTGAATACGTCATACCCGTTTCATTACGTCTTCAAATGCAATCATCTGAGAATCTAACAGATGCACACCCGAAAAACACAACTTAAAGAGTCCGTTCGTTCCTAACTCGAGATCCCCATGGCATTGCCTCAGTCTCTCTCCGAAAGCGGTCGAGAAGCTCGGTTTCTTCCTACTCTATGGCATATACCATCTCTTCTAATGGTGGACAACTAAATCCATTTCCAAATTCCACTCACTCAAAAAAGCAAAATCTTAGCCCAAAAATACTCCGGCAAAGAAGCCGAGCCTCATACCTATGGCAACGAACAATGTCGAAGCCAGACACAACTAAACTAAATGCAACACCATAACAAACAAATGATCCCTATACATGTAAAACTCACACACGGCGAATCTCCAAAACAAACATACAGAAAACACCCTGCACAGAGAGACACACAATAACACTCGATGGACGCATTAATAAAAACCTAAGGACGAATTCACATAAAACCTGGGAGAGCCCCGTTCAAGATCCTGTGAAGAATCCGACCACCGCCAGAATCACCCCCGTCGATCAACTCCCTCAACCCCAAATTGGCCACCTTCTCCTCCTGCTTCTCCTCCACCTCTTCTTCCTCCTCCTCCTCCTCCTTGACGTCACGCGCCTTACTCTTCAACCTCTCGAAGTAATTCCCGTATATGTACTCGGGGGAGTAGCCGTTCTCATCGTCGAACAGCATGATGTGGCCGTGCCACTCCCACACGCGGTAATCCGAGCCGGTCTCCTCGTGGAACCCGACACAGATGTGGTGCTCCCCGATCGTGACGGCCTGGCCGGAGTTGGGCTTGAGCGAGTCGGTCTTCCCGGAGAGGACGACCTTGACGATCTCCCTCTCGAGCCTGGCCTCCTCCCTGGCGAGCCGGGACCTGCCGGGGTCGGAATCGTCGGCGCCGCCGTAGCCGCCGCCGCCCCCCTCCTCCTCGTCGTCGTCGTCGAGATCGGAGAGGTTGTTGACGGCGTCGAAGAGGAGGTCCTCGAGGGACAGCGGGGGAGGGGGACGGGCGGCGGCGGCGGCGGCGGCGGCGGCGGAGGCGGAGGAGGAGGGGGGAGGGCGGATCTGGAGGCGGGTCATTAGGGTTTGGAGGAGGAGGCTGTCGAAGGCGGTGGTGGTGGAGTTGGGGAAGGAGGAGCTCATGATTGGGATTGTCGAGGTCAGGTCGGAGTGCTGCTGAGAACGAACGGAAGGGTTTTTCGCAGAGCAACGAACGGGAACGAAAGGGGTTTAAGAGTGAGAGAGAGAGAAGAGAGAGAGGGATAACTATGGCGCAAATATTAGCTGCAGCCCGGTTTACGTGAGCTCCATTTCGTGCACCGTTGGATGGTGTGGAGTTTCACGCGATCTGACGATGGATATTAAATTAGACTCGCATGATCTGGATGCACCCGATACTCTGTCGAGGATAAGAGAATTGATTGTGCTTGTGCTTGACTTGATTTTCTAGTTTGCATTTTCATTTTCATCCAACAAAAGATATTTTTATATTCCTTTCGTTATTAGCGATTATTCATATCTAATATGTACGTAAACATCAATGAGTCTCATCGTGTGAACCCCAATTCACTTCGATCGTTAATTTAACGTAGGTCCCAAGTGGGGTCCACCTCATCCAGCGGTCTGTGCGAACTGCGCTCGAATGCATCGGGTTTATTCAAGACCTTTTGGACAACGAGACATGATAATTTTTCATTTTTGTAAAGTATAAAAATGTTTGAACGAGGTCTTTGTTTTGATAATAAAAGTGATTGCACGCATTTTGTCCTCTCTCCATCCAGATGGTCGTTATGTGGGACTGGAGAACCGAACCGGTAGGAACTTGTCTGATTTCAGGTTTTAATATGCGAAGTAGGTTATAGATTTCAAAAATTGATGAACCTATTTCGATGGGTAGTTACATGTAACCTGAACCTAGAACAAGTTTTGTGTTTTACTTGGTCTATATCTTTGCGCGATTCTACAGTATTTCATGACGTTTGATGATGAGTTTATAATCTAGAATCACTAATATGAGTTTTCATTTTATGATCGAGACTTTTACTCTGTTAATATTTTATATTTTTCGTGTATCTAAATATAAGTTGTGATCCGTAAATTGTAGCAACAAGTGGTTGTCGTTAAAGGTGGTAATTCACTGTAATCGTTTAATTAATAATACAGGTAAAACCTGATAGACCCTGAAACTTGTGACATGGTAGATTCCAAATTCTAGAGTATGCACGATAGGCTTCATGTTAAAAAAAATGAAGAACCTATTTCAATAGGTAAGTTTCAGATTTTAAATGAAATCTGTTCGAAAGCTTAAATCATTCATTCCTAGTTATATTTATCCTGGGTGGTCAAACTCTATTTTCTTCCATTGGTAAGGAAAGAAATCTTATCCTCTTCAAATAATTAATCCAGCAAAAGTAATTGACAACGGAGGAGCCAAGAAATTACACTAGAATTATTGATCACGAAAATTATATATAAATTTTAAAGGTTGCCTTCCCGCGCCGCCTTCCCCCCCCCCCCCCCCCCCAACTAAACATCCATCCAAAAGAGTAGCAATTCCTTAAACGACTCAAATACATCACTTTGACCCAGTGAAATTCAAATTCGATATGATATAACTTATTTGGAAAGTGATACAAATCGGCGTATATATTTTTACTTATTTTTCATGAAAAATACTTTGTATATATCAAATGACATCAATAATCACCACAAACTTGATACGCAAACACAAGTTAGAGGCCCTTAAGTATTTACAGAATTCTACGCATGTTCGACCTACAGGCCAGTTACAAGCTAGGTTGATGTTGTTGCGAGCCAGTTACTCGTAGCGCTGTTCCTTTGATGGTTCCACGACGGTGACGTTGCACGTTCTAGATTGCTTTCTTGGCTCCTTGACATGCGCAAGTCGCTTTTCCCTCACTCTTACCTGCTAGAGAGACAGATCCCGTTATAACAATTTTTACATTAACAAAAAGAAAATCAACACAGGCACGCCATTGGTAAGGTTAGTGATCTCTTCGTAACATGACCTATGCTTGAATATTACAACAAAACCAAAGGCAACCCAACCTTTCGAGGAGGAACACCAAGAGGAGTAGTGCTAGGACGACGACGACGATGTTGATGTCTCTCTTCAGACAAACCAGAAATGACATGTGGTTGCGGACGACCACACTCACCGGAAGAAAAAGAAGAAGAGCAGTGAGAGCGGACCAAGCCAGCTTGTTTGGAGCACTCGAAGTACTAAGTGATCGGAAGCTTGAAAGAGCACCTCGGCATCTTTCGAAGGTAAAATGAAAACGCAAAAGAGGAGAGAGAGCAGTTGAAGAAGCTCTTGAAAAGAAAAGAAAAGAAGGAGAGAGTTTTAGAAACGTTAAAGGAGAGAGAAGGAGAAGGTATAGAAGGTAGAAGTTCTTGAAAATTGAAAATAAGAGAGGGAGTTTTAAGCGGGTTAACATTTATTGTTCTATCCTTTTTCACCTACTCTGCAATCTACGGGCCGGCTAGAGAAAAGAAGGAGAAAGCTTTGGATTTTAATTTTTTGTTTTCTATCCATGTCCATGTCAGAGGACATGTGTCACTCTCTAAGTGGAGCCAACTAAGCTCATATATGCCATGTGGGCCGGTGACGTGGTAAGCAACGACCACCGAATATTTATTTTATCGTACCAAGCAGAGAGATGGATCCAAAACTGCACTAGTTTAGCAGATCGAAAGGCAATACAAATGAACCTAAAGCCATTGTGTACTGCACTTTTCCTGGGCGACTGCAGCATAAAAGGCTGACTCCAGATGTATCTTTGTGCTTGCTTGAGAAAATGAAAGACTCCCATGATGCAGAAACATCATCGAGTGCAGCGTTGATGAAATCACTTCCCGTTTCTATGGTTCTTGCTCTTCTTTTCCACTCTAAATTCGTGGATCATGGACCGAGACCGTTTGGTCAGCGCTGCACTCAATTATGTTTCTATGCTTGGGTCGGTGGCGTCAAGATTTTGGGGGATTTTCAGGTTTGTGTTCGCGGACAACGCGCGCATGCATTTGCACTCTTGTCAGGTGGATTCTTGGGCAACAACAGATCTAGAGTCGCTTTTTTTGGGAAGTTAAGTTAGAGTTATGTTACTGCATATTGATTTTATGATACAAAGTTCATTGATGATTGCATATTTACTGCAAATAACATCAAAGATTTGCATTTTGGAATTGCAGAAGTATTACCTGCTAGGGTTTTGTTTTTCTTTTTATGGATTTATTCCTTTTCCCTCTCCATTTTCAAGCATTTAAGTGTGGCAAGTAATCATATCAAAGAATGGCAGGAGACGTTCATGAGAGAATATGATCCACGATGGATTCATGTCCTTGCGTTTTAGAATAAAACAAGCTTTGAGAGGTTGACTGACATCAATTTCAACCTTGATTCTTACGAACTTGTGCATGACGTCAATAAGGTTGCTTTCTGATTGCATATCAAGGGGAACTCCATGGATTTGCAGCCAGAATCGAGTGGTGGTAAAATCAAAGATCAAACTCCTCGAGCGCAGCACCCCGAACCCAAGGACATAGCACGAGATGAGCTCGCCCTACGGTCCAGGAGCCCCACGCTCAACTCGAGACATATCAGGCTCTCGTTTGAAGGTGGAGACGAAAACATTTGCCGCCATTCCTTCAACACGTACCCATGGAGAAGGGATGCTGGTAGTGGTGGGCAGTGGCCGCGTTGAGCTCACCTAGTTAGTGGCACAGGTCTAGCAACCCTCACCGGAGGCTGGCGACGACCGCTTCCTTTGACTCACCACATACACTCAAATACCGAGAGATAACTTAGACGGTTCGGTTCCACCCACAACCGGGAACCAGGGACTGAACTGATCCAATGGAACTGGTCACTTATTTAACATGAAGATGAAATTAGAAAAGAAAAAGGGTGAGAGATTTCGGCTTTGCTCTACCAAAAAGAAAGAGGATTAATCAATCATTTAGAGAAATCTTTCATGCTTTTTCTCTGGAAAATTTTGACTAGAATGATTTAAGGAATTAATTCCTCCAAACTATGTAAAAAGGGCAACAAATGTGACAATGATCGAAGGGGGAAGCAAAGGAGATTGTCTCCATTTCATTTTGGCAATAAATTGGCAAGGGAATTTGGTCATGAGCAAAAGAGCATACGGAATGGGATATTCTCTTTGGAAGATAACGGGAAAGGTCGGTCAACAGGGGAGGAATAAAAGGAAAATATGAATAAAAAGTAAGTGGACGAGAGATTTAAGTACTAATAGGAGCAAAGCAAATCAGTGAAACCATTCACGCCACTCTCTTCTCTTAATTTTTTGAAGAAATAAAATATATATACAGTCGGTCCGGTTCGATCCCGTTCATCTTTGGAACCGAGAATCGGACCGCCCAAACACTGATTCCACTTTTAAGAACAAGGAACTGGACTGGCACTCTCAGGAACTGGACCCAATCGGCTGGTTCGGTCCAGTCCGAGCAGTTCCCAATCTAGTCGGTCCGTCTTGCTCACTCCTAAAATAACCCACCAAAACTATAGCGATTGTTGGCCTTGCCATTGGCCAGCGAGGGTCAAATGCGAGGGCCGTACTTGTGCCCAGATTTGGGCGAGGGTGTTCCCCGGCATCAGATTTGCTGCGAACGACGGACCCTTGTTGCAGATTTGCTGGCCGTCGCTGTGACTCTCACCCACTCGCCCAAATCTACTGCGAGTGTGGCCAAATTTACAGCACAATCTCTCACTGCAAGAACTCCATGTTCTTGAACAATGGTCATGGTCACTAATGAAATATGAACTTGAAGAAGATATAAGGGATAAAAGTACTTAAAGTCTTAAAAGTTGTCATAAAATTGTAATTGAGTTCTAAAACTTTCTAAAAGTGTTATCAATTTTAAAAACTTATCACGAAAACGCAATCGAGTCCAAATTTTTTTAAAAAGTGCAGTCAAGTCCTAAAACTTGTCATGAAAGTGTAATCGAGTCCTACAATTTTCAAAAAAATCAAGAGAATGATTTAATTGGACCAATTTGACAAGCATTAGCATTTGATTGCACTTTTTGAAATCTTTAGGACTCAATTGCAAGGAAATTGTCTAAAAAGTCCTAAACCTATTGTACCTTTATTAATTCAGTCATAATAATTTCAATTTTATCAATTGAGTCCTAAACCTTTTCACATTTTTGTAATTGAGTCAATCCAAACAAT